CGATATCTTTGCGGAGGCGCGGCGGTTGTCGCCGGAGCTGAACATACAGTACACGACGATCAGCGACGGGTTCCCTTTGGAGTACAATCGTGACCAAAATGGCCCCACCTATTTTAAATACTTGGTCGAGGAATTTCCGGCGGTCGTGGATAAATTCGTCGGGAAGTTGATCGCCGACGACATGGCTGATTCCGACAGCAGGTTTATCCATTTCCTGGTTGCTGATACAATGTGTGCGTGGCCGGCAGCCATTGCCGGAAAATATAACCTCGTAAATGTGTCGTTCTGGACACAACCAGCCCTGGTTTTCTCTCTGTGCTATCACTGGGACATTATGAAACAAAAGGGCCATGTCCCCAACGGTATGCTATTATTTTCGAATCTAAAATGTTTTGAAAGTTTTATACATTTTCTTTTATACACTAGTTTAATTTTATACTCATTCATCCGTCATAAAATTATAATTTTATTTTGCCATTTTTATCTGTGCCAAAACAATATTCTCATTTTTATTTTTATAATTATATATTTACCTTTTTACAAAACTATTTCCATTTTTTCACAATAATTACATAAAATAGAGATATTTTGGTCTTTTAGAAATATTTTTACATCTACTATCAATATAATACTATTAATTTTTTATTCTTGTGCTCGTCCCAAATGTATGTAATGTTTTGAGACGGAGAAAGTAACAAATATACAATTAGGGATCTAGAAAAAAATAATTATTTTAATTGAACATATTAAATTTATATTTGGATTTTGTTTAGATGGACGTTTTTGAAAGTGTTTTAAGTGTTCAAAGTTTCGAACTTCTGAAGATTTTTAGAAATAATAAAAATTATAAAATTTTTCAAAAAATTACTATTTATTCACAATGCAAAAAAAAAAAAAAAAAAATCAATATATATAACTAGAGGTTTTGTTTTTCTTCCTTTATTTTATATTTTCTATACAAATTTTTATATCTCAAATAAAAAAAATTATTTTTCGACATTCTCACAAAACAAACACACCGGTAGCCTTCAAATATTCTTACTATTGCACTAACTCTATTTATCTATAAACTTTTCATTAAAAAAAAATTATATTACTCATACTCCCATTTATTTTTTAAATATTGATTTTTGAATATTAATTATTATATCAAAACGTATTAGAAATTAAGAAAAATTGCAAAAATATTTTCATTAGTGTCATATAATATTAATATAATTTGTAAAAAAAAATTATACAAATATAAAGATATATTCAATGTTAAGTAAATAATGAAATTTATTACCATCTCTTTTTTTCCTATAGATAATCCAACAGAAGTGGAAATAAACAATCTGCCGGGAATCAAGACAATCAGTACGAGGGATATAATGTCGGTCATCAGCGAAAGGAGAGAAATCCTCGGCGAAACTTTTACTATTGTATTCGACAACGTTAAAAAAGCAGATTTCATCATCCACAACACAGTCCAAGAATTAGAATCCCAAACACTCACAGCCCTCTCCAAATACCAACCCAATTACGCAATCGGGCCAATCAATTTCTCCAAAGGTCTTCCGACGGCCGCCGTCAGTAAGAGCATCTGGTCGGAATCCGACCTCTGCAATCATTGGCTGGACTCCAAATCCCGCGGGTCAGTCCTATACGTGTCGTTCGGGAGCATGGTCCAGATCCCGAAACACGAGCTCGACGAAATTGCCTACGGCCTCCTTCTCAGCGGCATCGATTTCCTGTGGGTTGTCCGTGCCGGAACTTCAAGAGGCGACGGCGATGTGCTGCCGGAGGGGTACGAGGAGAAGATTCGGGATTCGGACAGGGGATTATTGGTGCCGTGGTGCAACCAGATTAAGGTTTTAGAAAGTCCGGCGGTCGGAGGGTTTCTGACGCACTGTGGGTGGAATTCGACGGTGGAGAGCATATGGTGTGGGGTGCCGATGATTTGCCGGCCGGTGATGCTCGATCAGCCGACGAATAGGAAGCTGGTGGTGGATGGGTGGGGGGTGGGGGTGGATCTTTACGACGGCGGGGGATCGTCGCCGTCGGTTGATAGGGAGAGAATTGCGGATAAGATCCGGAGATTTATGAATTCGGACAAGGTGAGGGACGCGGCGAGCCGTGTGAAGGAAACTGTGAGGAATGCTATGGAGATTGAGGGTTCGTCAGAGAAGAATTTCGATCAGTTTTTAAGGGATTTAAAGGTCAGAATTCACTCCACTCACTAATTAATAATATATATTTTTTTCATCCATCAAAAGTATTTGTTATTTCAATATGTATTTTTTTTAATAAAAAAATAATGGAATACAAGAGGCAGCTGATGACCAAAAGAGAGCTTTCACTCATCAAGACTTCATAAAAATAAAAAAGAAATGGTTGTTTTTATTATTGTTGTCTTTATTTTGTTCCAAAATTCTATATATTATTGTTGTTTTTATTTTATTTCAAAATTCTTATTTTATTGTCTTGGTCCTTGTAAATCACAATGTCAATTATAATCATCAGTGAAGATATCTTCATCATAAAGTCCTCGTACATCAATAACGGATCATCATACTCTCTTCCAAATCCTTCTCAATAACATGATTCATTGTTTCTTTCATGAGGAAATTTTGGACCTGCTCTATGACTACAAGTTCCAGTCATTCTCTCACGTACCTCGTCATCACGGATATGTATGTCCCTATCCATGCTCCATCTCATCTCCGAGCCACCGCCAACATCGCAATTTAATGTGTATTTCTCCGTACCTTCTTGATTACCATCTTCTACTATATTGAGCTCTTCGTATGTGGACGGAAAAAAATTTGTATTCTTGAAACGAGATATCCAAAGATTGAGTATTTGAAATTTCGGATTGGATCACCGGATTTGGTTTTTTAGTAAATTACTAAATTACAAAACAAGTCACACTATGCGAACCACGTAGATAATCTGAAGCGTCGGGGGTTTGAACCCATGACCTTAAGGTCACAAGTCCAATCCCACACCAAGCGATTCTATAGTTGCATAATATAGGTCTTTGTTTAGAATCAAATAGGGAGTTTCGTGCAAACTTTACAATAACATAAAAGGGTTCTACGCAATAAATAAGATATATGATATTTTTGTGCATTTTTACTAAAATATAAATATTATATAATTTACCCAAAATTAAAAATTGCTTTGAAAAAAATCAATTAAAATATATTTCATTACATAAGAAAAAAGCATAAAATTTACTCTCTCCGTCCCCCTGCAAAAGTCTTATTTTACTTAACATTGAAAATATCATTATATTTGTATAATTAATTGTACAAATATCCTTCTATAGTATTATAAGACACTAATAAAAGTATTTTTGTAATTCTTTTTAATTTGTATTAAATTTTAATATAATAATTAATATTCAAATATCAACACGTAAAAAGTAAATAAGACCTTATTATTATAAGTGATAAATATTATGAGAATAATTATTGATATTATTATAATGTCTTAATATAATAATAATGATTTTAAAAAGCAAGATTTTAGCAAATTTTTTAAAAATATATATTTTCAATTGAAATTTTAAATTAATTCCTTTTTTTTTTAAAAAAAGAAAGAAAATACCCAAATAAATTTAATTGAAAATGATATAGAGAGGATATGAACCCAAATCACTTCCTCTCCATATCTATTTTATCTCATTGTCATTTTATTTTAAATTTGTTAAATTAATAATTATATACACATAATAAAATTATGCTAAAATATTAACCAATTAAAACAAATTAATATATTAAATAATACTCCCTCCGTCCCGTCCCATGTATATCTATTTGTTTGATTTTTGCACGGAGATTTAGAAGTATTAATATTATATTGAAATGAATAGAAATAAATGTAAAAAGACTAAATTAATCTTATTATTATTGTATGATACAAAAGTAATGACATTTATGTAATATATTGTAAATTGAAAGAATATTTTTAATGTTAGGTAAATAGTATCGTTATTAAAACTGAAAATGATATTTTCTTATAGGACAAACCAAAATCGAAAAATTAATAGTTTGTTAAGGGACGAATGGAGTAGTAAAATAAAAAATATTAATATATAAAAATAGTATTATGCTATAATTATTATATATAATTAATCTTATCTAATATATAATGGTTATGAAAATGAAGATAAAAATAATGAATAATTTAATATATTTTTTTAACTATACTACATTTTTGTATTTTTATTTAATTATTTGAATTTCTTTTTTTATCTAGAAATGTGTTTGATATGAACTTATACAAATTATATAAATCAATAAAACAATCCTATAAAATTTATATAAGTCCATAAATAATTCAATCAAATTTATAAAAATTCATTTAATCAATACATAAAGTCCATCTCTCAGGTGAATTTTCTTAATCTACATAAATCAATAAACTTTGTAAAATCTAATAAAATTCAATAAAATCTTAAATAAATATGTTTCCTTATGTTTTGATTGGAAATTTGATTTTGAATTTGAATTTGAATAATTGATTGATATAGTACACATAAAAATTGATGTAATATTTTAAATGTAAATTTGATATTTCGTGTAAAATAAATAACTAATATCTAATTTGGTTTTTTTGATTTTTTTATTATTTTTGTAAATAATTGAAAGTAACTAATTCATCCAAACAAATACACCCAATTATTTTAATTAATGAGTAGTTGCATTTTTTATGAGTTTCCATTTAATTCTTATTTAAATTTTTTGTATTTACATTGATAATGAGTTTCCTTTTTAACTTCTTTTTTTTTCAAACAAACACACCTAATTATTTTAATTAATGAGTAGTTGTGTTTTTAATGAGTTTCCTTTTAATTTTTATTTTATTTTCAGTAATTACCTTGTTAATGAATTTCCTTTTTAATATATTTATTTTCTTTTTTATTTTCTCAAGACCTCTATAAAATGCTTTATTATCATGGTAAGACACACCTCATCAAATATTATTTTATAAAAATTTTTCCGCGAGAAATCAAAATGGTGCCAACTCCGCCACCTCCGACGGCGGCGCTTCGCCGGAATATACCACACGCGATAATGATCTCACTCCCATATCAGGGCCACATCAACCCCTTCGTCAGCCTCGCCCTCAAGCTGGCCTCCCGAGGCATCGCCGTCACCTTCGTCCACCTCGACCACATCCACCGCAGGTTGTCGGAATCCCACGGCGCCGCCGCCGCCGCCGATCACGATATCTTCGCAGAGGCGCGGCAATTGTCGCCGGAGCTGAACATACGGTACACGACGATCAGCGACGGGTTACCTTTGGAGTACGATCGTGACCAAAACGGCCACACCTATTTTAAATACTTGGTCGAGGATTTTCCGGAGATCGTCGATAAATTCGTCGGAAAGTTTATCGCCGACGACGTGGCTGATTCCGACAGCAGGTTTATCCATTTCCTGGTTGCTGATACAGTGTGTTCATGGCCGGCAGCCATTGCCGAAAAGTATAACCTCGTAAATGTGTCGTTCTGGACAGAACCAGCTCTGGTTTTCTCTCTGTGTTATCATTCGGATATTATGAGACAAAAGGGCCACGTCCCCAACGGTATGCTATTATTTTTTAATCTAAAGTATTTCGAAAATTTTTATACACTAGTTTTTATATTCTCTAACGTCCAGTTCTAAAGTATATTTGCACGATTTTTTAGTGATTTTTATTTTTTTATTATTTGACAAAATTGTTCTTAATTGTATGGTAGAGATTAAAAGTAATAAATGAATGAAGGGTAAAAATATAAAATTTGTGTTTAAAAAAAAATATGACAGTAGTTGTTGGACATCTAAATAGAAAAGTAGGGCATTAGTTTATTATTTTAATAGAACAATATTCAATTTGTATTTGGATTTTGTTTAGATTGAAGTTTTGGAAGTGTAGTGTTAAAAGTTTCAAAATTTTGAAAAAATAAAAAATAAAAATCTTAATATTTAATATAATATTTTATAAAAAAAAGTAATATGACATTTTCTTTTTTCTCAAAAAATGACCACTTATGTCCATCAAATTTTTTTTTTTTTTTTTACTCTATCCGTTAAATCTACCTTATTACTACATTCGACATTTCACTCAATATTTATTTGCAATATTTATTTTTCTTTTCAATTTTTCTATTTTTCCAAAATATAAAATATTTATTTTTCTTTGGCTTTGTTTATTTACACACTTTTAATTTAAAAGTTTTTATATTATATCTTAACATGTTTTTTTCCTAAAGATAATACTACCGAAGTGGAAATAAACTATCTTCCGGGAATCAAGAAAATCAGTTCGAGGGATATAATAACGATCCTCAACGATAGGGAAGGGATCCTCGTCGACTGTTTGACTATTGCATTCAACAACGTTAGGAAAGCAGATTTCATCCTCCTCAATACAGTCGAAGAATTAGAGCCCGAAACACTCACAGCCCTCTCCAAATACCAACTCAATTACGCAATCGGGCCAATCAATTTCTCCAAAGGCCTTCCGACGGCCGCCGTCAGTAAGAGCATCTGGTCGGAATCCGACCTCTGCAATCATTGGCTGGACTCCAAATCCCTCGGCTCAGTCCTATACGTGTCATTCGGGAGCGTGGTCCAGATCCCGCAACACGAGCTCGACGAAATTGCTTACGGCCTCCTTCTCAGCGGCGTCGATTTTTTATGGGTTGTTCGTGCCGGAACTGCAAGCGGCGACGGCGATGTGCTGCCGGAGGGGTACGAGGAGAAGATTCGGGATTCGGACAGGGGATTAATGGTGCCATGGTGCAACCAGATTAGGGTTTTAGAAAGTCCGGCGGTCGGAGGGTTTCTGACGCACTGTGGGTGGAATTCGACGGTGGAGAGCATGTGGTGTGGGGTGCCGATGATTTGCCGGCCGGTGGCGAACGATCAGCCGACGAATAGGAAGCTGGTGGTTGATGATTGGGGGGTGGGGGTGAATCTCTACGACGGCGGGGGATCGTCGCCGTCGGTTGATAGGGAGAGAATTGCGGATAAGATTCGGAGATTTATGAATTCGGACAAGGTGAGGGACGCGGCGAGCCGTGTGAAGGAGACTGTGAGGAATGCGATGGCGATCGAGGGTTCGTCGGAGAGGAATTTTGAAAGGTTTGTCGGAGATTTGAAGGCCAAAACTCAATCCACTCGTTAATTTTAATTGTTTTGGATTCTTGCTTATGTTTTGCTTGAAAAAAGTTTGTTAGTTTTATATGGAATATAAGATATTTGATTAAATATAATTTTAAAAAGAAATATATTTATAGTGAAGAGAGTATAAATTTTGGTCAATAAATAAAAATCATTAATGTAAAATATAATTAAATAATAGATATCATACAAGTATCATGCAAAAGTTAGGTCTTTGTAAACTTCCTCTCCGATGTTGTTCGTGTTATTTGCATCATTCCAAGGCCTGTTTGAAGCATATTCGAGCTCAAAGGAGAATCAAGCTTCAACCCTTTCTCAATTTGATGTGAAGTTTGTAAAATTTATGCCAACACTTTAAGGTGTTCTTTAAATTTTTTTTGTGTGGGATATAAATGTTAGTTTAATTAATTAATTAATCAAATTTAATTTTAATATTTAATTTAGATATATATCAATTTGATTATTTTTTAAATTATCTTAGCTAATTAAACTAACCCGAAATTGTGATATATAGTTTTCTCATATTAAATCCATCACATTGAAAAATACATAGAAGGGACAGAAAAACCGTGATTGACAATTTTTTTTTTAATACTCCCTCGGTCCCATAACTATGTATCAACTTGTTTTTTGCACGGAATTTTAGATATATTAGTATTATATTTGGAATGTAGTAAGAATAAAGTAGAAATGTCTAAAATAACTTTATTAGTATTGTGTGATATAAATGTAATGACATTTGTGTAATATATTGTAAGTTGTAAGGGTATTTGTAATGTTAAGTAGATAGTACCATTGCTAAAAAAAAATAGATACTTTATTATGAGACGAATTAAAATGGAAAAATGAATATTTTGTTATGGGATGAATGGAATATTATAAATAATCTCATATACATGCCAAAAAAATTAGAGCAATAATCTGATAACACCTTCCTGGGTTCAACCTTCTAGTTTCTTGAAAAAGAAGATCTGGAGTGCAGATTTAATTTTAGAGGTTTGTTTTATTTGCTTCCGCTACTTTGTTTGATTTAAGCATGATTATTTGTGATATAAATGTCATGTTTAAATCGTTTTTCCGAAATTTAATTATTTTTAATATTTGGTATCACAGCAAGATTTTGACCTCTGCTTTGCTTTCACTTTTCCTATTTTCAGTTCTTGATCAAGATGCCATTTGATTTTATGTTCAAGAATATTTTGAATTCTAATCTCGATGATCACTTTATGAAATTTTCATGATCAAGATCCGATACTTCGAGAAAATTTGCTCTTTGATTTCAAATAATTTTTGGGAAATTATGTTCTGTAAAAACTGATTTATGGAAATATTCTTGCTCTCAAAGTTATTCGGATTAATATCTGAGTTTGAATTAGAAGAGAAACAAATATGTTTTTGATTTCGTAACTATATATTGAAACAAACATACAGGGATAAGATTTATTATAAATGAAAATAGGTAATTGAGACATGCAGAATATTATTATTATTACTAAATTATTTTACGAAGATATTCTGTTTTATATTTTTAATTGAAGCACGTTACTGGTATTAATCTGATTGATTTATGCATATCTTTATATATGTGTATTTCAAATTACACGTTTAGTGTTTGTGATTTATTTAAAATTTTAATTAATTTGGGAATAGCTACCGCATCCTTGATTAATTAAAATTTATTTTTGAATTTATTTGAAATCACGTTAATAGACATCGATTGTAATTATCATCTACAAATCTACCCACAAGAATCTTATTATGTTTATATTATTAATTAGGATAAAATATCAAATTGTATTTTTTAATCTACCCACAGGAATTAAAAAAAATGAACGCAATTTGATAGTTTTATTGTTAGATTTTGTTTGAATAATTGAGTAAAACTTTAACCCACAGGCAAGTGTTATGTCTTTAGATTCATGTTTTAACATGTTTACATTAATAGAACATGTAGTTTTATTTGTCTTATTTATTGATGAGCATGTATATTTAATTTTGCAGTGTTTAATCCTATGAATTTCTCTAACATTAAATGAGATATTCCTGAATTGACTGATGATAATTACAAGATCCGGAAGGAGGGGATTTTCTTTCATTTAGGTTGGATGGATATTGATTATATTATTCGGAAAGACGAGCGGCCAAATATTACTGAAACCAGCGAGCCAAATGAGGTATACCTTTATGAGCGATGGGAGAGATCTAACATTCTCTCTATAATGCTTATAAAGACCAAGATATGATTAAATAAACTTGAGTTTGTCAGAAGTGACCGAAAAAGATATAGCCGAGATCTTCTACGAACGAACTTGAATTTGCCATTGACTAAAAGTGGTGTAGCCGTCCACTGGATCAAAGTCAGAATTAGAACGCAACACCGTTAGAGTTGGAAACATGATTCGTACATTCACAACGGAACTAGAGTAAAAAAATAGAACTCTCTCACTCTTAATAGAGCTAGAGTCGAAACCAGGATTCGTTCGCTCATAATAAAGTTAGAGTCGTAAACAGGATTCGTTCGCTTACAACAGAGCTAGAGCCAGAAATAGGACTCATTCACTCTCAATAGAGTTAAAGTCGAAAATAGGTCTCTCAACGACATCAGAGTTGAAAGTAGAACTCTGTCGGTGGAGATCAAAATAGTAGAGACGGAGACGGCATGAAAATGACAGAATAATCGTGGATAAAAGCAAATACATCAATAAAATGTAAAAATATATACGGGATATAACAGGTCATGGATGTACCCGAAAATAATTTTGCTCTGATATCATGTTAGAATATTAAATTGAAATTTTTTTTTTCAATCATAAGAATTCGTACATATTTGTAACGATGTATAAATCATCTAAATAATGCAATAATTCTAGAAATCTTTTAAATAAGATAACTACCATATATATATATATATAATATATATTTTCTAAATATAATTTAACAATAGAGAATAAACTTTTATACCATAAAAAATAAAAAAATATATATACATAATTATTACGAATTTAATTTTATCAAAGATAAAAATAATAAAAAATTGAATGTATATAAATATATATACCAAACTCACTCTAAAGTTTGTTTAGTTTTGGTTAAAGTTTTCTTTTTTTGAAAAAAATAATAATGGTTTAAATAATATATATTGATATACTCTTCCTCCTATTGAGTCATACGTAGTTATTTGACTTTTGCACGTCAATTTATATATATTAGCATTTTATAGATATGCAACTGTAAAGTTTTTTTTTATCCTTGATATTAATAGTGTTGAAAGAATAATGACAAAAAGTATAAATAGTTTAGTATTTAATTTGAAGATATTTTTTTATGTATAAATAGTTTAGTATTTAATTTGAAGATATTTTTTTATTATATATATATAATTGATACATTTGACATGAACAAGTGAAAATGACAAAATGAATATATACGACTTGGACTAATATTTTGTGTAAAAAGTAGTACTCCATCCTTTAGCTATAATTATACTATAATATTTTTTTTTTGTTATGTGCTATGCAACGTCTATTTATAATACATAAAATTATTCATCCAAAATTTTATTACTATTATTCTAACAAATAATACTTCGTTCATCGTTGTAAAATTATATCTATTTAATCGGATACAAATTTTTTTTTAAAAAAAAGGATAAAAAATAATTATGGTAAATAAAAAAGTAAAAAAAAAAAATATTATTTTGTTATTAAAAGAAAAACGAAAATAAATTTAAATGACAAATAAAAAATAAAAATAAATTTGAATGACAGATTAAATAACTAATATATTATTATTCTTTTCTACTTATCATATTATTTTTAATAAATTTTTTATAATACCTCTACTTTATTTTTGCATATCCTATTTTTATATTAAAATAATATTTTATTTAATATCTGTACCCAAATAAAATATTATAATTAATCCGAAAAAAATTACTCTCTCCGTCCACAAACTAATGTTCTATTTTCTTAGTTGGGACGTCCAACAACTATTGTCCTATTTCCTTTTTTAAACACAAATTTTATATTTTTATCCTTCATTCATTTATTACTTTTAATCTCTACCGTACAATTAAGGATAAATTTGTCAATCTATAACAAAAAGACAATTACCTAAAAATTGGTGCAAATATACTTAGGAGTATATTTCATCAATTCCTAAAACAAATGAAGATTGGCAAGACAAATGACTAATTCCAAGACAACTTTCAAGTAAATGAATATTCAAGAATGATTTTTTACTATTTCCAAATAGATTTCACGTCATTCCATTAAATATTTTGGTTTTTCCTAAGTACTCGGATTAAAATATATTTTTTTATTTTTAATAAGTTTGACCACACTGCATCTCATAAACACAGTCAAAATTACATTTGCTTATATTAATAAATGCATAAAAAGAATATCTTTACACATAAAATATTATTTTAGGTACTATTTAAATATTTTTGTTTCTTAATTTCTGTATAAAAAAATAAATATATAAGCGGGACAGATGGAATATGTTTGTACTTGCTATAAATAAAAAATCCCTTAAAAATATTCATGTAGTGCGAACATTTAGATGCGTTCCTTTATAATCTGTATTGAATTTTAGAATTTGAACTTTTTATTTAAATAATATTTGATACTAATATTTGTAAAAAATAAAATAAAAAATATATGAAATTTGAATGCTACCTCTGTCCTATAATAAGTGTATTATAACTTTTTACATAATGATTTTTAAATATTAATTATTAGGGTAAACTGTTTTTTTTAGTCCCGTAATTGAACCCCTTTATCATTTTAGTCCCGTAAGTGAATTCTGTTGCAAATTAATCCCATAAGTAAAAAATTTTCATTATTTTAGTCCTTCGGCGCCGGAGACGCCCGTGTGGCTCGCTGGAGGTGACGTGTCTGCCAGGTATCCCGCCAGGTCAGCGATACTTTTCTTTTTTTTATTTTTTTAATTAGACCAAATAAAAAAATACAAATAAAATTAAAAATAAATTAAAAATAAGTTTTAAAAATAATTAAAAAAAATCCACGTGTCTGTCAGGTCAGCGACACCTGGCAGACACGTCACCTCCGGCGAGCCACGCAGGCATCTCCGGCGCCGGAGGACTAAAACAGCGAAAATTTTTCACTTATGGGACTAGTTTGCGACAGGCTCCACTTACGAGACTAAAATGATAAGGGGGTCCAGTTACGGGACTAAAAAAACAGTTTACCCTAATTATTATATTAATATATCCAAATTAAAGGAAAAAAATAAAAATATATTGGAAGAGTGACATTTGTTTTTTGTACGTAAATTTTTTAATATTAATATTATATTGGATTGTAGTAAATAAAAGACAAAAATACTCATATTAATATAGTGTAATATAAAGGTAACGAGACGAACATTAATTTTATGGGACGAACATAGTAATATAAAATTGAACTAAATTTGAAAAGAAACACATTTCCCAAGGTCCAAACCCAAGAAATTGGACATGGATTTGATTTGATATAATTTAGTCAGATCCACATTTCATGGCAACAAATCAATCAGGTGAATATATCAATTTTTTATTACATATCAATAAGGTGAATATATCAATTTTTTATTACATATCAATCAGGTGAAGATTCGATTTTTTTTTAATAAATAATTTAATTTTAGGAATATCTAATATAGAAATTTATTTGATTATAACTTAAAACCAATTTAAAATTAACGGGGTGTTTGGGCAAATTGTTTTTTGAAAAGTTTTTAATTTATTGAACAGCTTTGAGCTGTTTGATCAGTCAAAAAGCTAATTTAAGTGTTTGGTAAATTAGTTTTTTGGAATAATTTTTGGATTCAAAAAGCTAATTTCTGAAAAACTAACTTACCCAGCGTTTTGAAATAGCTTTTTCTGTAAAAAAAAAATTTATTTCTTATATGCCCTTAAAAATTTATTATGTGTTTTATACAAATAAATATATTTTGATTATTTACTAATTATATTAGAATATTTTATTATAATATAGTTTTATTTTTATAAATTTAAAATAATTAATTTTTATATAAAAATTATTTTAATTGTAAAATATACAAATTTATTAAAATCAACATAAAATAGAAAATATAAATATTAATAATTTATTTTTATATTAAAATTACATTATATAAATTTATACTAAAAATAAATTAAATATATTAAATATATTGAAAATTATAAATATAATGAACTTATCGATAATTAACATAATAAATATATACACAAAAAATTTATTATTTTATATTTTACATCATTTTCAATATAAAAAACTATTTATATATTTTAATTAAAATATATTATTTTTTAAAATCTAACTGTAATAAAAATAAATACTTTTATAACACTTTTACAATTTTCAATAATTAAGAACAAAAAATTTTAAACATTCTAAATTCAAAAAAACATAATTGAATATATTAGAAACAAAAATAAAATAGAAATGTCCTCAATTGTCATTCTACGTATAAACATCTAATATCAAACAATTGTTTTACCAAACATTTTAATACAAACAACTAGTCGAATCAGTTAGTCAAACCAGCTAATTGAATCAGCTAACAACTATCAGCTAATTGAATCAGCTAATTGCTAAACACGCCCTAAGTATTAATTTAAAATTTTATTTTTAAATAATATTTTATAATTTTTATTGGACAGTATCAAATAAATAGTTCTGAGACAGGGGAGTAATTTTTTTATACAAATTTCATTATATTAGTATTATAAATACTAATAGAAGTATTTATGCTCTTTTTTCTTGATTTGTACTACGTCTTGATATAATAATTAATATTAAAAAATCAACACGCAATAAATAAATATGACCCTTAAAACCGGATGAAAATAATACATATTATCGCATTAATGCTAAACAAATAATCTTTACCGGTGTGTTTCGTTTGTGTTTCAAAACAAATTATTACTATTTTAACTTACATGATTTTCAATAAAAATATAGGAGTATTATTTTTTTCATAAACTATCGTATTAAAATATTATTTAAACAAAAAAATTCAAATAAAAATAATAATATATTTAGACCAAAATATTTTAAAATTTTTATATAAATTAAAAATATAAAATTATAAATATAATTAATTTATACATAAGATATAAAAACATAAATATTAAAAAAAATCTTCCACATTTTTACTATTACATTGCATAATTATTATTGTATAATTGTTAAGTTCACTAAAAAATTTCTTATGTTTATAAGAAGGTAGTCGTTTTTCTTTTTTTTTCGTCATTATACTTAATATTAAAAATATTCTTATATTTGTATAATTTATTCGATAAATATCATATTTTTATTACAAAAGACTAATCAAAGTATTTTTATTTTTTTCTTGATTTATACAATATATTAATATAATAATTACTATTCAAATATAAGATATAAAAATCCAAGAACACTTTTTGTTTTTTTCAACAAAAGAAATATTCCCTCCGTCCCAATGCAATAGTCTTGTTTACCATTTTTTATCCATCCTAAAATAATAGTTTTATTTCCATAAATAATTATATCATTATAAAACTATTCTTACATTTTTTTATTATTACACAATTGTCACTACTTTTTACACTAATACACTCACAAGTGCAAAAAAGTCTTTTACTCGTATTTTTTACCCACTACCAATATAATATCAATATTCATTAAATCTCGTATCAAACACAACTCAAACTATAGTTTTGGAAAGGAGGGAGTATTATAATTAGTGACAAAATTAGCCGACGTTTCAAAATATGTCATTTTCTAATACTCTATTTAATAAATAAATAAATAAATAATTAAAATAAATAAATAGTAAAATAATTTATCAACAAAATTTTAACATTATAAATCGAAAATATTAAGAGAAAGACAATTTGTCTTTGATGTCTCAAAATTTTGATGAAATAAATAAATACTCCTATAAAATATTTCTGAAGATTTGACTGCCAAGTCAAATAAAGATATTTAAATTTTAGGCTATGTTCGATTGTATAATTTATTGGACAAATTTTATTGTATTTATATGATTTATATTATGTATTAATATAATAATTAATTTTTAAAAATTTACATAAAAAACCTAATAATATTCTTCTTATGAAATAGAAGAAGTATAAAATTTAGATATTTATATGGTATATATTCTATTAGAATAATTAATATATATTTAAAAAAAAATAATAATCCTATATATTTATATATATATTCATAATCGGTTTTGGATTAGAGTGAAAGGGTGTCTTGTCGGATCCAATAAAAGTCTATTATATATTTATATTATATATATAATTCTTTTATATATTATCTCCGTTCGGCTCTAAGAGTCTCATTTATCTTTTATGTGTTGATCTTTGAATATTAATTATTATATCAAAATGTAGTACAAATTAAGAAAAAATTAAAAAAATATATTCAAAAATTATATAAATATAAAAATATTTTTAATGATAAGTACAAAGGTAAATTTGACTTTTAGAGGTGGACAAAGGAAATATAATTCATTCGATATATATAAAGTATTATGAGATAATCTGATCATGTAGGAATATATTTAGCACATGAGATCATGTATTCAAATCCAAACTTACCTTTAGAGTCTGTTTGGTTTAAGTCACACTCTCCTATGATAGTTTTATTTATAAATTAATAAAATTTTATTAAATACTTTTATTTTTTTTTTATTTTTACAATATATAGATAAAATAATAAAATTATTATATTTTCTCTTCTCTCTAGTTTAATCAAACACAAAAAAAATACTATTTTCCAAACCTCCCCTCTCGTCCCTTTCGTACCTCCCTCGACACCTCCAAATCACCTGTCACACATAGTTCGCTTAGTGTGACTTGTTTGTCGGACTTAGTTTACAGGGTATTAGGTTCAGTTAGGGATTTATCCAGGGTGCACTTTCGACTAACGGCTAAAGATTCCCACATCATAAAAATAAAATAAAAAATAAAAAATAACAAAAAAAAAATAACAAAAATAACACTATTATAATTTTAATATTTTCTCCCCTTGCCCTCTCTTTTATTAAAATTGTTCCCCTCCCTACGTCCATATGATCCAAACAGACACTTACTTGCCCAACACTTACAAATTTACAATAGCAGTCAATCGTTGACTCTCAGTCAACGCCGCCAGCTCACGGCGGCGCGGCACCGTACATATTCAGGTAGTTCGTTGCAATTTCCCAAATCCAAATCCCGACAAACTCGTCCCCCTATATATATATATATACACACATACATACATAATCAGCATTCAATATAATATACCAAACAATACATTAACTTTATAAATTTTCCATCCACCGGAAAACCAAAATGGTGGCGGCGGCGCTTCGCCGGAATATTCCACACGCGATAATGATCTCACTCCCATATCAGGGCCACGTCAACCCTTTCGTCAGCCTCGCCCTCAAGCTGGCCTCCCGAGGCATCGCCGTCACCTTCGTCCACCTCGACCACATCCACCGCAGGCTGTCGGAGTCCCGCGGCCGCGGCGCCGCCGCCGATTCCGATATCTTCGCGGAGGCGCGGCGATCGTCGCCGGAGCTGGACATACGGTACACCACGATCAGCGATGGGTTACCTTTGGAGTACAATCGTGACGAAAATGCCCTCGAGTATTTTACACACTTGATCGAGGATTTTCCGAAAGTCGCGGATAAGTTCGTCGGAAAGTTGATCGCCGGCGACATGGCTGATTCCGGCAGCAGGCTTATCCATTTCCTGGTTGCCGATACAGTGTGGTCGTGGCCGGCAGCCATTGCTAGAAAATATAACCTTATAAATGTGTCGTTTTGGACGGAACCGGCCCTGATTTTCTCTCTGTGCTATCATTGGGATATTATGCGACAAAATGGTCATGTCGCCAAAGGTATGTTATTATTTTTAGTTTTAAATATTTCAAATTTTTATACTTTTTTTTATACACTATTTTTATAATTTATATCTCTAAAATATAAAATTATATTAAATGGAAAATTAAAATAACTTGGTATGTTAATTTTTTTTTGTTTTGTTTTTAAACATCAATTTTTTACTTACTATATTAAAAAATAAACTTGTTCACATCAATATATATATATATTAAATCAAATAATTATTTAAATCTAAATTTTCACTATTTAAAATTCAAATTTAAAACTCAAATCAAAGACCATCACAACCTTAATAAAAAAAAAAAAATCATACAAAAACAAAAATAAGCAAACAATTAGGGATCAAGAAAAAGTATTATTTCAAGTTAACATGTTAATTAAATTTATATTTAGGCTATGGTTAAATAAAAATTTTTAAAATATCGAGATTTTGAAAAGTTTTAGAAAGAAAAAAAAAATAAATTAAATATTTAATTTGAAATTTCGTTGAAAAATGAATATATATTTGAAATGATTTTTATGCAAACAACACTTTCAAATATATATGTTGACTATAACAGTATAACAAAAATATTTTATCTCTGTTTATTTACATATTTTTAATTTTAAAAATTTGATACTATTTATCAAACATAATTTTTTAGAAATAATATTATATTAAATAGATATTTTTAATAAAATACTATATTAATTCAAATTTTAATTAAAAAAGATTACTGCAAAAATCTCTGTCTATGTGAACGTCCGTATACTTTATAAGGATTCAAAATATATAAAAATTTTCATACAATACTACCTCGTTGAAGGAATGAAGTACTTCCTCCGTCTCATCTCAGTATATTTTTATTTTGGTCTGATCCACATGTCATGTAATATTTTTCAAAATAAGAAATAATTAATACTCTCCCTTATTTGTTTTTCTATTTTAATTTTTCTCATAACAAAGTATTAATTTCTTTTTTTTTTATAATTGCACTATTTACCTAACATTACAAATATCCTTACAACTTACAATATATGACACAAATGTCATATCTTTATATCATACATACATGCTAATAAAATTATTTTGTGCAAAAATCAAATAAATATTTACTTATCGGACAGAAGAAATACATTTTATTTCATAAAACCACTCAAATAAATATATATATATTTTTTTCTCTAATCGCGTCACTTAATTTCTACTTTATTCTACCCATTTTCAAAATTCAAATGTTACTTTCTGTATGCACAGAGGGAGTACTAATTTAACAAATTTCTTTTTTCAGAAGATAATGAAACCGAGGTGGAAATAACCTATCTTCCGGGGATCAAGACAATCAGTTCGAGAGATTTAATGTCGTACATGAACGAAAATGAAGGAATCCTCGCAAAAACTTTGACAGTAATATTCGATGATATTAAAAAAACAGATTTCATCCTCCACAACACAGTTCAAGAATTAGAATCCCAAACACTCTCAGCTCTCTCCAAGCACCAGCCCAATTACGCAATCGGGCCCATTAATTTCTCCAAAAACCTTCCGACCACCGCCGTCAGCAAGAGCTTCTGGTCGGAATCCGAACTCTGCAATAACTGGCTGGACTCCAAGTCCCGCGGCTCAGTCCTGTACGTCTCGTTCGGGAGCGTGGTCCAGATCCCGAAACAAGAGCTCCACGAAATCGCCCATGGCCTCCTTCTCAGCGGCGTCGATTTCCTGTGGGTCGTCCGCGCCGGAATTTCAAGCGACGGCGGCGATGTGTTGCCGGAGGGGTACGAGGAGAAGATTCGGGATTCGGACAGGGGATTGGTGGTGCCGTGGTGCGACCAGATTAAGGTTCTAGAAAGTCCGGCGGTCGGAGGGTTTCTGACGCACTGTGGGTGGAATTCGACGGTGGAGAGCATGTGGTGTGGGGTGCCGATGATTTGCCGGCCGGTGACGTTTGACCAGCCGACGAATAAGAAGCTGGTGGTGGATGATTGGGGGGTGGGGGTGGATCTTTACGACGGGGGTGGGTCAAAGGTTGACCGGAAAGGAGTTGCAGAGAAGATTCGGAGATTTATGAATTCGGACAAGGTGAGGAAGGCGGCGAGTCATGTGAAGGAGACTGTGAGGAATGCGATGGCGATCGAGGGTTCGTCGGAGAGGAATTTTGAAAGGTTTGTCGGAGATTTGAATGCCAAAATTCAATCATCTTGTTAATTCCAATTGTTTTGAATTCTTGATTATGTTTTGAATGAAATAAAAAATTTTGTTAGTTTTTGGATAGATTATAGTAATATATTTTATGATTAAATATAAATTTTAAAAAATATATATTTAAAGTGGATGAAGAAAAGTTAATGTTTTGTACAATAAATACAAATAATTAATACAAAATATGATCAAAATAAACGAAATTATACAAATTGTGTATTCTGTATAAATATAAAATTATTTTTTTTTTTACAAAAATATTATTCCCTTCGTCCTTGTTAAATTGTTATATTTAAATTAGACACAGAGTTTTAGGTATTATATAATTAGCAAGTAATTAATTTTAAGAAGTGTATTAATAAAAATAATTATGATTTAATAAAAATAAATATAGTTTATGTGTGTGTTGTTTTCAAGATGTATTAATAATATCGTATGATCGAGAGATTTAAACTTAGGTAAATGTACTATCTCATTGTCTGTATTTTCAAAAAAAAAATAAAAGAAAATTATACAATTTTGAATTTTAAAATATGATTAAATTATATAATTATATTTTTAAAAAAATAAAAAATTATATAAAACAAACGAAAATAAAAATAGTGAATACATTAAGTGAGAGGGAGAGAATATAAATTAACCTGGATAATAAATGAGGTGTCATTAATAAAGATTTGATGAGAAAATTATTCTTGTTAGGAAAAATATATATATATTTTAAGGAAAATAGAAAGATCAGAAATTTTATTTGTCAACTAACCTACGTGCACTACATCGAAAACGGTTATGGTGCTGAATTGAAAATGTCCGCACCCGCAATATATACAAACAATACACACAGTCTTATTATACACAACATGCGTTGTGTATAATAATGACAGATGATGTTGTTTCATAATTATAACGTGTTGTATACCAGTATTTGGTATGCTGAAATCAATTAGTATATGTGTTGTCAGTTCATGTGTTGTATTTGTGTTGTTAGTTCATAATTACAAGTGTATTGTATAACATTATGTGATATACTAAAATCAAGTATTGATTGTGTTGTATAAGATTATAGCGTATGTTGTTAGTTAGTGTTGTTAATTCATATGTTGTATTTGTATTATATGAATGCAGACGGTGTGCTTCGAAGGACCCGGAGCGAAAAGAAAAATATGGGCCCTTAAATATATATATATATAAATATATTTTTTTATTATAATAAAATATAAATAATTAAATAAAATAATTTTCTAATATTTTTAGATGAAAAATAGTATAAAATTATATTTTCAAATTTTTTAAACATATAAGATTTGAGCTCAAAACCTCAAAATCAAAAATTTGTTTCTACACCACTAAACTACTATCGTTTATAATTACATATATCAAATAGATTTTATATATAAATATTATAAATGTATAACATAAATATATAACGGGCCTCTTATTTACCGTGAGCCCTGGGCGGGCGCCCCTCATGCCCTGGCTCAAGGCCAGCCATGTGTTTTTAGCACATTGCTGAATCTTAAAATTCAATATTGTAATCGCCGCCGCCACACTACATGACAATGTTCAAAAAGGAAATTGAAATAGTTATTTTCTTATTTGATCTTTGCCAAACTTCTACCATTTGAACGATTCTTCAAAGTATATTCAAACTCGTAGGAAAATCAAGCTTCAACCTCTCTTCAATTTGATGAGAAGTTTTTAAAATTTATGTCAAAACCTCAAAGGTATTCTTTACATTGTTTTGCGGAAATAAACAAATTAGTTCTTTTTGATCTGAAAGTAAAAGAGACATAAATTTAAAAGATGTTATTGAGTAGTAAATACACCATCACAAATGTCAAATCTCTACAATTCATCAAAAGAGTCATCAAAGCCATGTTGAGAATTAAATTCAACTTCACGATGATAAAAACTCCCGAAATCATTCAAATAAATCGTTTGAGCCAAAGTAAAGGTTAAATCGACTTGAAAAGAGAATCAATAGACACATCTAGATAAAAATAAGTTCTTAACTTACTGCATTGACTAAAGTAGTCGAAGGAATTTCTTAACATATACAACAGTAAGTTCTCCTCATTGCAAAACTTCTCTTCGAGTTAGATAAGCCTTAAAGAAGCTGATCATATCATCAAAATACAATCATCTCTCTTAATATACCTAAAATAAGAAAAAGCATTCCCGAGTCAATATCTCAACAAAGAAAGATGGAAAAATAAGTTTAACTCCAAACATTATCTAAGTCCTTAATCCATATATCTCAATTTGAAGAGTACATTAAAGAAGCTTTAAAAAAGATTTTTCAAAAGAGGTTCACAATCAATATGTATTTATATCAAGCATTATAGTACAAGGATTGACACCCTTAAAATACAATGTGCTATCAAACACTAAAGTTTCAGTAATTCTACAAAAAAGACAATTCACAATAATATATAACACACTTTGTCAAAATACATACCAATGTTGGAATATATGAAGATTTCCTAATTAAACAATTTGTACAATCACTAAGAGTCAATTCCTTTAATTGATATCTTAACGTAGATGTCGGTTTCATCAATGTCTAAACCAAATATGAGGTTTCAAATTGATCATATAGCACAAAAAGGATTGTCAATATAATTGAACTCAACAACACATATCAATCAAAAGATAAATTGTCGAATGACTATAGTAAACATTGAAGAAGGCTAATCTTCAGTTACAAAGATTGTGTGATTGAGGCTAAAACGTATAAATATTTTTTTATAGGTGTTGAAATATATCATGCAAGGGATCTGATCCCGTCAGTCGTAATTTCTCCATTACAGAGTAAATTGAAATTTGGTCTTCAAATCCTTTAAAAACCAATTGAAATTCTTATCTGACGATCCATCAATCGCCATCTCATTTCTCACAATCTCCTTCAAACGATTAGCCGCATCCCTCACCTTTAAAAAATCTTCTCCTCTATAACACATTTTATCATTCCAACTATTTTTGTTTTTATTTTTTATTTATACTATAAAAAAGTAAAAGGTACATAACACATTAAAATTCATATTCGATCAAAATGAGTCTATTTTTATGTGATAAAAGAAATATTTTTTTTAAAATTCTCAAAAGTTGGACACTTAAAAATTTTCTATCTAAACTAGTTAAAACATATATTAAATATGTTAAGTAGTACATTAAAATAATACTCTTTTATCGATCTCCAACTATTTATTTGTTTTTCTTTGGTGCAATTTTTTTTACTAAGTTACTCTTATTTTTTATTTAAAATACTTTAATATTTAGAGGTGTAAAACATAAAAATAGTGTGTATAACCACTTTTTGTTATATTTCTTTTGTATTTTTTAAAATAATTTATTTGTTTGGTACGAGGTCTATTTTTCAGGTTTGTTTGTTTAGAGTTTTGATTATAGTCTTTTTTTTTTAATGTGAAGTATAAGGACTGTGTCGATAATATAAAAAATAATATATTTTTTTTAAATATTAAATTTTGGTTGAATAGAAAGCGTATTTTTAGTTGCTCTTTGGAGTGGAAGAGAGAAGGGTTTTTAATTACATGACCGCATTTTAGTTGTCCTGTGTCAATGGTAACGGTTTCTTCCTTCAACTTAAAACTTCCCTTTTGCAGTAACCTTAATATGAATAATACAAAATTAATTTTCAGTCGCGGCCGTCTGGTGCAGGTGACGCCCAAGAGCCCGTGTCCATCTTTTTTGGACACCTCTCTAAATTGTCTTTAGCCACGTTGGAGGTGGAGTCATTTAATTAACGTGGTCAGTGTTTGTACTCTAACATCACGGATTATAGTAATCATATATACAGGCAAATGACGATGGGGCAGACATAGAGGACAGAACAAGATCGACATATTTATTTATTTATTTATCAAGCTCTCGAAGCAAAGACTAGACTAGAGTTTGACAAATTATTTAAAATATGATTAAAATGTATAATTATTTTTAAAAAAATATATATAAATTATATGAGACGAATTAAAAAACAAAAATAGACATTTTATATGAGACAGAAAAAGTAACGAAAATAATATATTATGAAGCAAAATAATAAATTAAATTATGAAAAATAATATAATAAATTATTTCAACAATAGGATAGAATAATGCAAGTTGGAAATAAAGCCAAGGCGACGATATTCTCTACCTGCAAGACAAATTGCGTAATACTAGTATCTCTGATGAAGTCATTTTGTCCCCAAAATTAAGATAATTTTTGTCTCCGACTTAAGTGATACCTTAATAAGTTAGAGTTCTGACGAACAAGAACGACGATAGAACCAAGCTTTGGTGAAAAACTAAGAAGGTTTGTTGAAATGTGGCGGGAAAAATTCCCGGAAATGTTAAGAGGGGAAAGAGTTAAGGAAGAAAGAAAGGACTTGTTGTGGTTGATTTATTTTGAGAATGAATATGAATACCATTTATATAAGCGTCTTTACTCGATCAAAATGACATATTATTAATTATGTACCGACATAATTGGTGTTTTAATTTAAAAACTTTTGTTTGAGATGGTCATAGGCTAGTTTCAAATCTTCTATTTGATATAGTCGTAATTTACACTAGTTTCAAACCTTCTATTTCAGATTATCGTAATTTACTCTAACTTCAAAGCTTCTATTTGAAGTTGTCGTAATTTATGCTAGTTTCAAACCTTCTATTTGAGATGATCGTAATTTAGTCCAACTCCAATTCTATTTGAAATTGCTGTAATTTATACTAGTTTCAAACATTCCGTTTGAGATTTTCGTAATTTACGCTAGTTTCAAACATTCCGTTTGATATGGTCATAATTTACGCTAGTTTCAAATCTTTCGTTTGATATGGTCGTAATTTACGCTAGTTTGAAATCTTTTGTTTGAAATGATCGTTATTTACTCTAACTTCAAACCTTCCGTTTGAGGTTATAAGGGACATATCCATCAAATAGAATATTAATCGGATAATCCTCTGATTTAGGTTATATATCTGAGTTTAATTTTTGGGCTTCACAATACGATTTGTCTCAAGAGAGGCAAAATAGTCAAACATTAACCAAGTCTCATATTCAATATATATATATATATGTATATATTTAATCTAAATTAATCCAATTAATTTGATTTTCATTCACCAATTAATCGATAAGTTCTAAATTAAATTTTATCGATTAAATAATTAACTAATTATCCAAATACTATCTAAATTACTCACACTGTCCAAAACATCCTGCAATATTTTTAAAATAAAAAATAATTAAATATATTTGATCTCTGCCCTACATTTTTTTTCAATCCCATAACTCAAATAAAAAAATAAAAAAATATACACCTCTCTCATTACATTACATAATTTTCAAATTATTATATATTACTCATCTAAATTTCTGTGCTGAAGTCAAATGTTGCACCGTATTTAAAACGTCTTAAACAGTAAAGGTACATTATGGAATCAGCCTCCAACCTCTAAGTAGGAGGAGTCTGATATGTTTAACAAAGGGCAAATTGGCAACTATATGAATAGAAGTAATGCAATTGTGAGCGGTTCAAAGTTAGGTATTAAGTAAAATTTATATTTATATAAGATGCAAATATAAATATAAATAATTAAAAATACCTAATTTAAAAATATTTCTGTTTTTTACTTAAAAAATAATTAACAAGATATATTGACATAAAAATAAATATTAAAAATATATTTTCTCCGTCATTCAAATCTATGCTCACTTTTTTTTTTTGGTTGTCATTAAAAAATATTTTTGTTTTCTTTTTAAGTAAAAAACTATTACATTTTTGTATTTTTTTTACTCTAAAAGAAAAAATAACAATTATTACTCACTTTTATTAAAACTTGTGTCCGGTTAAATAAGCACACATTTGCATGACAGAGTGAGTATAAAATAATTAACAAATATATTCTACATAAAAATAAAATAAAATAAAATAAAGGGTGTGTTTCTTCAACCACAAATTTGAGGTTGTCCACTGTTTGGGGGACAAGTTTATTATAATTATAGAGGAAAAAATATATACAATATATATGTAATTTTGAAGAGAATAAAATTTTTTATAATACAAATAAATAAAAATTTAAATATATATTGGGTATAATATAAATTCATATAATCAAATCATACAATATAAATTTAATACATATTTATATTATTTTATTCATTATCCATCAAATCTATACACATCAAAATTCCCCAAACTTCATCCAAACTCAAACACAAAAGAAACAACAAAATTTAAACTCATCCAAAAATTCAAATAAAAATCAAACATAAACCCAAATTCTCTCAAAACCACCAGAAGAAACACACCTAAAATCTTCTATCCGGTCAGAGTCGCCAGCAACCACAACCACAACCACCACTCACCACATGGGCCACCTGGGCCAAGGGCTCCAAATTTTTTTAAGTCTTTTGAAACCCATTTATATTAAAATATATATGCATATGAATAAAATATTTTTTATATATTAAAATTTATTTGATTGTATTTCAATTTGAATTTTTATTTAAATTTTAATTTAAATATATTTTTATTGAAAATATAACTAAAAAAAAAATCTATTTTTAAAAATAAAATAAATTAAATTATTAAAAAAAATTTAAACTTTTTTTTATTTTTTTTGTCTGGGCCTATCAAAACTCAGGCCCTACCAACCTTTTCCTCCAAAATTGCCATTCCACTAGAGCAACTGCAACGCAACGGCTACATTTAAAAAAATTTCTATATGTTCTGCAAATTTGATGTGTCGAAGCTTTGGAAATTTAAATTAATTGAATTTACTCAACCGTTTTACGTCTAGGTATGTTGATAAAGAATGAAAGTAACACAAATTGAAGATCTTTTCGGTCTTTTTTAATTGACATTTTCTTTTATATATATTAACAAAAAAAAAAAAAAAACCTTAAACAGAATCAAAATGTAGGTATGTAAAATGTTTACATATTTTTCCCTAAAATACCAAATTAAATGTTCTATTGACATGAGATAGGATTTTCAAAATTTTACATCAACAGGTAAATACTTTTTTTTTTTTTCTATTTATCCGTATAAGAATTATAACCCATTTATACATTAAATATATCATATTCATGTCACACCTTAGCATACATAACAAAACCAATGTAAGGGATGATCGTAGGGGTTGGATTTGTAACCATGAGGTCATGAGTACCAACCGAGTCGAGAATCGGCTTAACCGAGCAAATGCGATCACGTTCATTCCTCCGAGCCGCCCCACAATTATACATATATTTTTCACTATCACACCATCGTCATTCCGCTCATTTCATCCATGGAAATCTAGCCATTAACGAACACAAAATTCAGACACAAATGTCTCGCTTCATCCTTTTCGAGATACGTATATTTTATCGTTTTTTAGTTAGATTTAATTTTTGTAATTTATCTTTTCAGCTTCTTCGATTGCATTAACTCATTGCACTTTTTCTAATTAAATATAGGATAATCGCATTTTCCCTGAGTTCGACCCGGACAGAAATTACTACACGAATATGCATGACACAATTTTTATTTTATACATATATCATTTTTTTTGTATCTTAAAAGATATTTTTAAATCTCTCCAAAAATATTCGATCAGCACCATTAAAAAAAGGAAGCCGAAGCCACCCATCCCCTATAAATAAGAGCTATGGCCAGTTTATTTAAGACACCGAAGTTACATCGAGGATTCAAGCAAAGTGATAAGTCTCTGGACTTTCTCTGTATTGTTCTTCATATTCTTCGTGTCCTTCGAAGCGTTCTTCATCGAAAGTCACTGATTTAGACAAATGATCCAATATTGGTTGACGAATCGATGAAGTTAACGTTCTTCGTCGCATGTCCATGCCGGAGGAAGGATCAAAGCTCTCAAAGCCGTTGAGGAATTCGTCAAAGCTAAGGGAAGGTCTCCAAAGTTCCTCTCAAAGCTTCAAGATTTTCATCGCGTTCTTTAACAAAGCATCAACTAGGCCCTCTTCGATCCAAAAGTCAAAGGGACACGCCGCCAAAAGTGTTATGGGGCACCAAACCCACCTCTTCAAGGACCAAAGCTCCAAAAGCCGTTGAAGAATCCATCAAAGCCAAGGAAGAGCATCCAAAGTTCATCCCAAAGCTTCGAAGTGTTTATCACGTTCTTCACCAAAGGAACAACTCGGCCCTCTTCGATCCAAAAGTCAAAGGGACACGCCGCCAAAAGCGTTATGGAGTACCAAATCCACCTCCTTAAAGATCAAAGCCGCGGATTATCCAAAGAAGACATTAAATCTGACGCCGACGATCAAATCGCCCACACGGAGACCGAAACTCTCTAAAAGGCGGAAAAGGCAAACCAAAGATCAAAGCTGCATATCGTCCAAAGAAGACATCAAATCCAAAGCCGATGATCAAACCGCCCACACGGAAAGCAAAGCCCTCCGAACGGTAGCAAAACTAAACCAAAGATCAAAGCCGCGGATCGTCCAAAAAAGACATCAAATCCAATGCCGATGATCAAATCGTCCACACGGAGACCGAAACTCTCCAAAAGGCGGAAAAGGCAAACCAAAGATCGAACCCGCGGATCATCCAAAGAAGACACCAAATCCAAAGCAGATGATCAAATCGCCCACATGGAGACCAAAGCTCCCTAAAAGGCGGCAAAGCCAAACCAAAGATCAAAGCCGCGGATCGTCCAAAGAAGACACCAAATCCAAAGCAGATGATCAAATCACTCACACTGAGACCAAAGCTCCCCAAAAGACGACAAAGCCAAACCAAAGATCAAAGCTGCGGATCGTCCAAAGAAGACAACCAATCCAAAGCTGATGATCAATTCGCCTGCATGGAGATCAAGGCTCTCCAAAAGGCAGTAAATCCAAATCAAATATCAAAGCCTCGGATTGTCTAAAGAAGACATAAATCAAAAGCCGGTGATCAAATCGCCTACACGGAGACCAAAGCCCTCCAAAATGCGGCAAAGCCAAATCAAATATCAAAGCCTCGGATCGTCCAAAGAGAACATCAAATCCAAAGTCAATGATCAAATCGTCTGCATGGAGATCAAAGCTCTTCAAAGTCCAGCAAATCAAACCGAAGACCAAATCTCTTTGGATCAAAGAAGCTATCGAAAATCAAGTTGGAAAACAAATCGACTCGGAAGGAGAATCAAATGACCTATTTAGAGAATAAGACCCGCTTTAAATTCAAATCAAATATAATTTGTATAAATTTTATGTTTATTAAAAAATAACACAATTTTTTGTGCACAACGTAGTTTAAAATATATAATAGTTTTTTTCTTATAAAATATTTAAAATAATAATAGAAATAAATATTTTAATAATAATTCCATTTTTTTAATAATTAAGAATAAAAAAACTTATAAATCTTTTAATATCATCGTGTTCTTTTACGGAAGTAGTATTTCATAGATGGTCATTTTATTATATATTATTAAAATATTTATTATAAAATTCAATAATTTAATCTAAATAAAAATCACATTCTTCATAACTTTTATATAATTTCTCATAATTAATAATAAAAACACTATAAATCATACATACTAACCTAGTATATTTTTCCAATTTTGTACTTTTGAACCCTCTACTTAATAATAATAATAATAACAAACGTTAAAAATTTTGGGGGAAAATAATGAGATTGTCTTATTGATCATCAAAATAAGGAGCCTATATATAGGCAATATAAAACAGAATCGATAGACTCAAATCTAAGTAATCTAAATTATGAATAACATCAAATCTAAATATAAATCTACTAAATCTAAAACTGAATATCTAAAATATCTCGACAATAATAATAATAATAATAATAATAATAATGTGGAAGATATTCTATGGCATTAATATATTTAGAATAATATATTAATGTGCTGACCCAAACAAATCGGTATTAATATATTTTTCGTGCTAAAATTAATGTTAATATGTGCCATACTTATATTATGTTTATATATATAATGTGTTGTTTATTTTTATATTGTGTGTTATTGATCCATATATCATGTGATATCATCATCGTGTCGAATTCAGCACAATAACAACTATTATATTATATATTTCATTCGTCTTAGTCTTATTTACCATTTTTGTCAGTTCCAAAATAATAGTTTTATTTTTATAAATATTCATATCACCATAAAATTTATCTTATTTTTTTTATTATTAATACACAAATATCACTACTTTTTATACTAATACACTTACAAGAACAAAAAAAAATCTTTTACTCATATTTTTTACCAACTATCAATATAATACAATTATTCCTTAAATATCGTGTTAAATACAAATAGGACTATAATTTTGGGACTGAGGGAGTATTATATTTTTTATATAATTAATCTAAAAGGTATATATTTTATTGGTTGGATGAATACAAAAACTTAACAAACATAACAATTCATAATAGAGTTTTGGAAGATGTATTCTCCCTCCAACTTCAATTATCTATATATAAAAGTTATTGAAACACTAATAATTGATCTAAAATAGATGATATATGGTATTTAAGGATAATATTATCTAATTTATTTAATTAGGATATCTATATAGGAATATATATGGTTGTGTTTTTTAGACTATATTTGCTTTTTGTTTTTTTTTTGGCAAAATTTTTACTATTTATGAAAAAAAAAATTAAAATATCACATTAGATCGTGTGTTTGTTTGGGGGTTTGGATTTTGAGTTGGGATTTGAATAATAAAAATTTTGAATTTGAATAGTTGTATGATGTGATATAAATAGGTGTGATGTGATATTTTGAATGTAAAATTGATTTTTAGTATAATATAAAAAATAAAAAATAGGTGTTTAATTTGATATTTTTGAAAAAAAAATAGAATGAACAGAGGATTTAAAATTTAATAAAAAAAAAAAAAAAACACACCCAATTATTTAATTTTATATTATATTTAAAATTGTTAACTTTTAAGAAAAACCTTATGAATTGCATATCTCAAAATAAATGTATACATATGTATATATACAAGATAAATTTGGTTCAATATACAAGATAAATTTAGGTCTAAAATAATAATAATAATAACACAACAACAATAAATAAATAAATAAATAATATAGCTGACATTCCCTAATAAAGTGGAATAATAGAGACCAATTTCAATTTGTCTAAAAGCAATCAAAACTGACCGTACACTACTAGAAAATTATGGGATTATCGAGAAATTTTGTCAATGATATATTTTTGCAATTTTTACTGAAAATTTTAAAAAAAAATTATATATAAATTAATTGTCGCGGACTTCCGCAACAATTCTAATTATAATAATTAATTTTTCCTATTTGTCGCGGAAAGCCACAATAAACAAGAAATAAATTTATTGTTTTTAATTTTTTTGCAACTTTTTGCGAAAATAGTTTTAAATAAAAATTATTTCAAATGCATTATTGCGGTTGTTACAGACAAACAAGGAATAAATATATTACTTTCAAATTTGTTACAGCTTTTCGTGACAATAATTTTAAATAAAAAATTATTTTTGTATGCATTATTGCAATTGTTTGCGACAATAATTTTAATAAAATACACTTTACATATTTCTGTGGCTGGCTGCGACAATATTTTCTTTATTACTTTAATTTGTTTAAGTATTTCGCGACAACTTTTTTACTTGTTATTTTGATTATCATGAATTTTTTTAATAAGACATTATTTCGAAAAATTTATTTTACGAAAATAATATAATTTTCTAATTATTAATAATTTTTAAAATTTTATATATTTTTTATAGTTGTTGCGAATGTTCAGGAATTTTTATAATGTTAAATATAATTATCTTTTTAATAAATTATATAATATATTATCAAAATATATTACTATAAATAAATAAAAATAAAATATAAAATTTTATTAACATAAATTTCTGCAATAAATATATATAACATAAAATTATTACCATTTTTTATATTGTCACATAATTTCACAACAAAAATAATTTTCATTAAGTTTTGTTTCAAATGCCCATGGAAGTATATTAAATTAAATAATCACAAAAATGATCTTAAGTTTGCAAAAATTATTTTAGTTTAATTGGGAATGTCTGCGGCAAATATATGAATTTAAATAATAAATCGTATCCCTAGAAATTTGTTAGAATTGAAAATCTATAAAGAAATTACCTTATATTGAAAAAATATACTAATATACTTGAAAATATTGTAAAAATTCATCACAATTTCTTATATTCTTTTATTTAATTGTATTATATTTATTTTTAAATAGTAATAAGAATATGTTGAAATAATTAGTATTCTCTATCATATTTAAAAAAAAAAAATAGTTTTTATTAGAGAAAGGAAAAAGAAAAAACCAAATATAGTTTTCGATTTTTCTGCAGAAAAATTGAAAAGAACTTTTAAATTTTTATTTACTAATTATTATTTAATATATTTATATATTTTTACATTATCTATAAAATGATACTACCTCCGTCCCACATACCGTGTCTGCTACAATGTAGACACGGTATTTTAGGAGGGATGTAATTAATAGATAATTAAGAATATATTAGTGAAAATAATTATTCTCTTATAATATAAATAATTATAATTAAGATTAAGATAACTAATTAGTTTAATTAAAATTTAAAAAAATAAATTAAAAAATTTAAAATAAGATTAAAGTGCGTAATCATTTTCTAAAAAAGGAAAATGAGATGGAATGTGGGACAGACAAAAACGGTAATGTGGACATCGTACGTGGGAGTGAGGGAGTATATATTAATATAATTTATTTAAATTTAATTTTAAAAATAAATTATTCTTTTTTATAAATATATATGTATGTCTTTTAAGCAAAAAAAAGGAAATTATGATATAATATTTTGTAAAAAAAAATAAGATATTTTTATTAAAAACTATACATGATAAATAGTGTTAATTTTAATATAAAATACTAAAAAGAAAAATCAAAATATAATACTTTTTCTGTTCAACTTTTTTCGTCAACTATTTCTATTTGCTTTTGTCCTACCTTATTTGTTCTTTTCTTTTTAAAAAATATAATTATACACTTTAATCAAATTTTAAATTTTATAATTTATATATTTTTAATCTTAATTATACTATATAGTTATTTTAATTTTAATTTATAATTAATTTTATAATATAACAATTATTTTTATTAATACACTTTGTAATTATTTACTAATTATATTTTACTTAAATTACGGTGTCTACAATAAATTGGACATATAACATAGGACGAGGGAGTATTACGATAATAGATAGTATGTTTTTTTTGATAAATTTGAAGAAAATTTAATTTAAATTTAATATTAAAATAATGTATATTTTTTTTAAAAAAAAAAAAATATATATATATATATATAGACGTAAAAATATAAAATTTGAATGAAAAAGAGACAAATAGTGAGAAACTCTTGAGGAATTTTTTTGATATGGACGCTCTAATGTTACAAAAATAGAAACACGTTTATATATATATATATATATATATATTCTACTAGAAAATGAATTTCTATTTTTTCACTTTTTATACATATGTCTTGCAAATCACTGTCTGAATACATGAAATTACATTCGTGCCCCTCAGCCTTCTCCTACCTCTGCATCGTCACACTCATCTCATTCCCACGGCGGTAAATGAATCAGTGGCTGTCCTAGAAACCTTCACTTATCCTCAAACCCGTCCATGTCGTGGGCCTCCAACACCAATCAAAATCACACGCACTGACACACACACACACACAAACAGAAACCCCCACCTCTGTGCCCGAACATTCGAAGACGACGACAATGGCGGATTCCGTCGCCGGTAAAGTCGTTATTCATTCAAACCGTAATTAAAACACTAAAACAACAACAATCACTCTTCAACAATGGCGTCCCTCTGCTCCCTGAACTTCTTGTATATATCCCCTCTGTAAAACTTCCTTGTCCGAATCACCAGAACCGCCGACACCGCCGCCCCCACCAGCGTCGCCGCCGTGATTATCAAAAACGCCTCCTTGTAACACCCCACTCCGGCGCACGTCAGATCCTCCCCGACACCCCTCTTCAGCCCCCTCGCCGCCATCTGCCGCGCCGCCTCCCGGTCGTACAATTTTCCGGCGACCTTCACGTTCAGTATGTACGCGCCTAGCGGGCTCGCGCCGCCGCCGAGCGTGTGCAGCGTCGAGTAATACTTCAGCCCGAAAAGCTCCGATATGATGGCGAAGATCAACGGCCACTGCGCGCCGAAGCAGAAGCCGGTGATCACCGACGCCGCGTAGAGCGTGTTCGGAATCCCAAAAGCTATCAGTAAATGGCCGGCGCAGGAGACGAGGAGGACGACGGTGAGCATCAATGGCCGCGGGAATTTGTACTTGGCCAGAAATATCTCCGACGCGAAGCCGGAAAATACTCTGCCGGCGTAGTTCCATATGCTCACCAGAGATACAAACGTCGTTATGCTCTTCTTCTCGTACCCTAACGCCCGTCCGATCTGCCCCAAATTGTCGATCGCCGTTAGGGTTCCGCCCACCCCAAATGTCACCGCCACGAACAGAATTATCATGTCCAGACTGAATACCGCTTGCAGTATGTTGTAATCGTCTCCTCTTTCCGGCGGTTTTAGCACATCCTTCCACCATGGGGTCTCCGGCGCCGGCGCCGGAGCAGGAATTGGATCGGGATTTTGAGTTACTACTTTTAGCTCTGTGGTTTGGATTTGATTGTCTTGATTTGTGTTTTTCTGAATTTTCTGATTCCATTCTTCGTAAACGACGGCGGCGAGGGAGGAGAAGAGGAGGAGGAGGACGACGGCGGCGCTGCCATTGAAGCCAGCTTGGGGGAAGGTGAATTGGTTCTGGAGGATGATTATGAGCATGAGGAAGCTGGCTAAGGCGATGGAGATGTAGAGGAGGCGGTAGAACATGTGGAGGTCGGTTTGGTGGCCGGCGGCGGGTTTGAGGAGGCGGACGGTTCTGAGGAAGACGGCGGAGACGGCGGCGGGGAGCCAGGCGATGAGGAAGATGAGGGCTTTGGGGTCGTCGCCGCCGTAGAAGGCGCGGTAGAGCTGAGTCATGATGGCGCCGCTCAAGCCGACGAAGCCTTTGAGCAAGCCGATGACGACGCCGCGGCTTTCTGGAAAGTTCTTGACGCAGGTGACCAGCGCGCCGGTGTTGGAGAAGGTCTGTGAGTTGGCGCCGAAGCAGATGTAGACGCACATCTGCCAGACCTTCGGCTTGGCTATGCGGCCGGTGACGGCGAGCCAGATCATGAAGTAGCCGGAAAAGTTCATGGTCATGCCGGCGGCGAGGACAACCCACGGCGGGACGACCTCGTTGACGACGCCGGCGACGAATCCGATGTTGGCGCCGAGGTCTTTGAAGAATCCGATGAGGTTCAAGGTTGTCTGGTCGTATCCGAGCGCCGACTTGATTTCGCCGGAGTAGATGCCGAATATGTACGTGGCGCCGGACATGGACATGATTAGGAGGCAGCCGAACACCATGAACCACCGGCTGCGGAGGACTTGCGCGGCGAAGGTTACGGCGCCGCCGCCGCCGGTCAGGAGCTCCGCCGCGGCCATATTGGAAGTCCGGTGAAGGAATTGGGGATGGGGATGGAGAGTATAGGCAAAGTCGTGTTTTGAGGTTTGTGGTGAAATCGGGAATTAATAGATTGTGACTGTAGGGCACTGCAGGGGGAATCACTGTAGGGAGGGTGAAGGGAATTTGAAGGTGCAAAGCAGCTAGAGATTAGGAGAAATGGATAATTCTTGTCCGGAGTTAACACCTAATCATTACTTGTATATATACTTAACTATATTTTTATTATTATTATATTAAAAGATTTTTTTGGGATAATTATATTAATTTTTTTTTTTTTTTTTTGTTAGTTAAAATTATATTCCTTTTCTATTGTCTTTAGGAATAATCTTTTTGTTATTATTATTATTATATCTTCTGACTCTAAGTTACATTTATCTTTTTGTATTTAATATTAAAAATATTTTTAGTATAATATTTGTACAAATATCTTTTTATTAATATTACGAGACACTAATGAAAATATTTTTTCTATTAATATTATTTATTAAATTTATCTTTTAATTTAATACAAGAACCTAAAAAAATACATTCGAATAATACTAATGGAATATTCAAGCATTCCGTTCATTTCTAATATTTACATATTTCTATTTTTTGTGTTTAAAATTCAAAGATTTATATTTCTCTTTTTTATAACTGTGGACCTTATTACTAATCAATAATTTCTTTTTACACTTATTTATTATATTACATCACTTTATTATGCATTTATATCTAAAAATAAAAATAATTTAATTTTTATACTATTATATCAAGCAACTACTATTTTAATAGTAATATTTCTTAATCTGCATAAAAAAATGTAATTATAAATTTTAGAATCGAATGAAAAGAGTATTATTTTTTTATTAGGTATATAATTATTTTACTGTAAAAATATTAATTTTTTTTTTTTAAATGAAGAAAACAAAAAGTGTTACCTAATTAAACTCCTTATTTCAAAATGGAAAAGGATATATGTGTATGTATTCAAATATATCATGTTACTATTATAAGAAAATTTCTATTCTTTTAATTTTATAATTGAATTATTTTACTTTAAAAAATACTCTCTCCGTCCCAAATATCATGTCCACGTTGCCGTTTCTGTCCGTCTCACATACCATATTATTTTCCTTTTTTGGAAAATGATTACACACTTTAATCTCATTTTAAATTTTTTTAATTTTATTTTTTTGATTTTAATTAAACTAATTAGTTATCTTAATCTTAATTTATAATTATTTATATTATAGAATAATTATTTTCACTAATACATTCTTAATTATCTACTAATTATATCCCTCCTAAAATACCGTGTCTACAGTATAGCAGACACGGTATCTGGGACGAAGGGAGTAATATTATAATTGTCTATATACATATAGAGCATTTGTTCAATTATAACAATCCTATTTCTGTATTATATCCTATATTTGCTTACAATAATTCTTTATAATGGGACAATGATTTTATATCCTATATTGGTTACATACAAATATCACACCAACAAATACACCCTATATTCCAATATTTATTTTCAAAATAAATTTTGATTATTTAATTCAACTATATATTTTTTAAATAGCAAATCTTTCAATAAGTTTGTGAGTAGTTTTTATTTGCAATTATTATATTTTTTATAAAAATAAATTATTTTAACTTACTATGGTATGCATCTAATTACTTTTATCATCTTAACTTAATATACTTATTGAAAAATAACAATTTTCTATTATAATAAAAAAATAATAATTTATATAAAAATACTAAAATATCTATTTCATTTGCACTTGTAAAAAAAAATATCAAAATTATGTTACATATTTTCGTTAATCAATAAAATAAAATTATTTTTTAATTACTAAAAAAATTCACATTTACTGGGACATATCTAAGTACTACTCTCTCTGTCCCATAAATATAGTCTTAATTGGATTGTGCATGATATTTAGGTTATATTGGTAGTTGGTAAAAAGTATGGATTAAAGACTTTTTTGCCCTTGTGAGTGTATTAGAGTAAAAAGTAGTAGCAATTGTGTAATAAAAATGAAACAGTAGAAGTAATTTTATGGTGATATGGTTATTTATGGAAATAAGACTATTGTTTTGAGACGGATAAAAATGGTAAACAAAACTATTGTATTGGGAAGAAAGAGTATTATTTAAACAAAATAGTACACTGACAAACATGGTGTATTCTGCTTAATATTTTAATTTGAAGTAATTTTTATGTTAAGTGTGGAGAGATATAAAATAATGTAAGAAATGATATTTTATGTTAAATTCGTAACTTTTTTGTGAATGAATATAATATATATTTTAAGAATTTTTCATGTGCTAACAGAAACAAATCGGTATTAATATATTTTTTTGTATTGAAATTAATCTTAATATGTGCTACACTTCTATGGCATAGATTACACTTCTAAATTCATTTTTTTATTTATATTTAGTGGCTATTCCTAGGGTGGGCACGGTTCGGGTATTTGTAAATATGCAAGTATTTGATATCTGAATCGAACCGAACAAGTATCCGAAATCGTGAATCGTATCCGAACAGAAAACCGAAAATATTTATAATATTTGCAAATAATTCGAACCGAACCGAAATTAAAAATATATATATATATATTAAAAAATAATTAAAATTCTAATTAAATAAAAATATTTGTAAATATTTCAAATATTTGACCGTTAACCGAACCGAAACTGAACCGAATATAATTATTAATATAAAATTTAAAATATAATAATATAAATATATTAACCGAACCGAAAAAAAATATCAAAAATCGAAATCAAACCTAACCGAACTGAACAAATATCAAATGTGCATTATTTATATTCGAACTGAATTTGTTCGAGTAACCAAAAATTCGGTTCCGTTCAGCGGTTCGATTCAGATTTTTTGTCCACCCGTAGCTATTCCGATGCTCTCATATATTATGATCGCATTGGTTATCTTGGTGTGCATGCGTCGCCTCCACTGTCTTCTATTATTCTTTATTGAGATAGTCAAGAATGCTATGAAAATAACACATAAGACTAATACCTTTAATTTATGAATCTATAAAATATATTACCACTTCACTAAAAAAATCATCCAAAAAAGTAAAAATCTCTATTTTTACTTTTCTTTTTTTTTTTTAAATTCGTGTTCGGTCAAATAAATACACAATTGGATGACGGAGAAGAATTTTTACAAAAGACTTTGGCACATAAAAGAAACTTATTATACGAAAATCTTTTCTTTTGTATTTAAGAAAACTTTCATTTATATAATTATTGTATTGGTAGCTCAATTCAATTTTAAGTTGTATCTGTATTGGATGTAAAAACAATAATAGTCCGTAAGGATTGCCTAATGGTGTAGGGGTCGGACCCGGTGCGCATTTTCGGGTTGCGGCATAGGATTAAAATTGATGAGGTTTTTATATTGGGACCAAAATTATTTTATGTTTATATTTTATAGGTGATAAGTATTATATAAAAATGTAATGACTAAGATGCTAATAAAAATACAAGGTTTCTTTGCCCCATTTTTTTAATACGATTTTCAATATATATTTTATTATTTTACAAAAGTTAACATTCAATATAAAATATTGAATGTGTTTGTCTTGTCAAATAATTTTGAATTGGCATATTCACTATAAAAAAAAAAAAAAAAAAAGTTGATAATTGTGAAAATTTGTAGCAAATTTTAATTTGTAACAATTAAAAGTCACATAAAGTAATTTTGTGACAAATTTATGTTACGACTTTTTGTTTTGACTATTCCAGAAGTAATATTTGCAGAAAAAGTTACAAACAATTTTCCGTGACTATTTAAAGTAACAGCTTATGTAACGAAAATGTCCAAGATATTTCTATTATGTGTCTTTTGACTATTTAGTCACAAAAATTGTCACGAAAATTTTTCTTGACTATTTTAAGCTGCGGATAAAATAACCAAAATACTTGCAATATTTTAAATTATTACAGAAATTGTCATGGTATAATTTTTGGGACTTTTTAAAATCAAATGTCACAACATAAGTAACAAAAACAGTTATATTATAAATAATTTTATTTTGATTTAATTAATATATATTGATTTAAGTTATTGCAAATATTAACATAAACCAATATTTAACTATTTATAATTACCATATCGATAATGTTTTTAAATATATTGTTAATTTTGTAATTTTATGATAGATTTTTTTAAAAAAAATGATTGAGTCTAAAAAAATAAAAATAAATAATTTATTGACAATAGATGAAATTCAAAAACTTTTGATACTAAAAAAATACTATATGTTAAATAAATTTAATAATTTTTTGTATTAATAGACAAAGTCAATTTTTTGCTAAAAATTCACGATGATATATTAAATAAATATTTTATATCTTGTTAAAAGATAAATTTATAACCAATAATTTATATAGTTAAAATATAATAACAAACAAAAATTAATACTTTAGAGTAGATAGCTAAGTTGGCATGAGAGGTGTAAATCTTTAATAACTATAATGTCACTAGTTCGAAACCTTTCGACTTGCAGATTAAATTAAAAAATAACTATAAAGTCATTAGATGAAAAATAATGTGGTATGAAGTAATTCGGAAAAAAATAATCGTGTATGGTTGCATTGAACAAAAATTATAATATAATTATATATTTTTTTTTCAAAAATATAAAGTCACAGCATTGTTACAACTTTCGTTAATATAAAGTCACGGAGGTGTAACGGTATTATTTTGTAACTTATTGTCATAAAAATGTCACCATTATAAAATATTCAAAAAATTTTGTTGCAACTTTTGTTGCTATATAAAGTCAATGACATATCATGTTATTATTCTGTAACTTATTGTCACAGAAATGTCACAATTTAAGAAAAAATCACCAGCAAAATTTCACAGAAATGGTTCCGTATATTTTTCGTGACTTTTTAGTAAAAAACTCACCAATTTGTATTAAAACCATGACTTTTTTTACAACCTAATTTTCTGGTAGTGATTTTGATGTTAGGTATAAAAAATTATGTAAAAAATATAAAAGTAATGAATATATATGATATATTAATATTTTTTTGAAAAATATGTACATATTTTTTTTATATTACCGATATAATTTCATATAATTCACAGTTAATAAAATATCAAATTAAAAC